TACAGGTCATAGTCATAATCCCCACTACAGTGGTAGCCAGTGTTGGGTGATACTGAGAACACTCCCAGGCTCAGGAGTGGTGGGAGTAACCAGTGTTGGGTGATACTGAGAACACTCCCAGGCTCAGGAGTGGTGGGAGTAACCAGTGTTGGGTGATACTGAGAACACTCCCAGGCTCAGGAGTGGTGGGAGTAGCCAGTGTTGGGTGATACTGAGAACACTCCCAGGCTCAGGAGTGGTGGGAGTAGCCAGTGTTGGGTGATACTGAGAACACTCCCAGGCTCAGGAGTGGTGGGAGTAGCCAGTGTTGGGTGATACTGAGAACACTCCCAGGCTCAGGAGTGGTGGGAGTAACCAGTGTTGGGTGATACTGAGAACACTCCCAGGCTCAGGAGTGGTGGGAGTAGCCAGTGTTGGGTGATACTGAGAACACTCCCAGGCTCAGGAGTGGTGGGAGTAGCCAGTGTTGGGTGATACTGAGAACACTCCCAGGCTCAGGAGTGGTGGGAGTAGCCAGTGTTGGGTGATACTGAGAACACTCCCAGGCTCAGGAGTGGTGGGAGTAACCAGTGTTGGGTGATGCTGAGAACACTCCCAGGCTCAGGAGTGGTGGGAGTAGCCAGTGTTGGGTGATACTGAGAACACTCCCAGGCTCAGGAGTGGTGGGAGTAGCCAGTGTTGGGTGATACTGTAGCCAGTGTTGGGTGATACTGAGAACACTCCCAGGCTCAGGAGTGGTGGGAGTAACCAGTGTTGGGTGATACTGAGAACACTCCCAGGCTCAGGAGTGGTGGGAGTAACCAGTGTTGGGTGATACTGAGAACACTCCCAGGCTCAGGAGTGGTGGGAGTAACCAGTGTTGGGTGATACTGAGGACACTCCCAGGCTCAGGAGTGGTGGGAGTAACCAGTGTTGGGTGATACTGAGAACACTCCCAGGCTCAGGAGAGGTGGGAGTAACCAGTGTTGGGTGATACTGAGGACACTCCCAGGCTCAGGAGTGGTGGGAGTAACCAGTGTTGGGTGATACTGAGGACACTCCCAGGCTCAGGAGTGGTGGGAGTAGCCAGTGTTGGGTGATACTGAGGAGAACACTCCCAGGCTCAGGAGTGGTGGGAGTAACCAGTGTTGGGTGATACTGAGGACACTCCCAGGCTCAGGAGTGGTGGGAGTAGCCAGTGTTGGGTGATACTGAGGAGAACACTCCCAGGCTCAGGAGTGGTGGGAGTAACCAGTGTTGGGTGATACTGAGGACACTCCCAGGCTCAGGAGTGGTGGGAGTAGCCAGTGTTGGGTGATACTGAGGAGAACACTCCCAGGCTCAGGAGTGGTGGGAGTAACCAGTGTTGGGTGATACTGAGGAGAACACTCCCAGGCTCAGGAGTGGTGGGAGTAACCAGTGTTGGGTGATACTGAGGAGAACACTCCCAGGCTCAGGAGTGATGGGAGTAACCAGTGTTGGGTGATACTGAGGAGAACACTCCCAGGCTCAGGAGTGGTGGGAGTAACCAGTGTTGGGTGATACTGAGGAGAACACTCTCCCGGGCTCAATAGTTAGGGGGGAGGGGACACAGTTATGAAGGAGAATAACATCCACTTAGTTTCAAGCAGCTTTATTTCTCTGTTAATATTATCATTCACTGACAGCAACAGTTCACAGACAAAATATAAAGAGCTCACAATATTGACAACATTTCATTATTACTCACAGCCTTCACGCAGACAAAACCTGTCTGCATCAAGGTCATCAATCCCAAATTTCTTGTTTGAAAGGAACTTGATTGTAAAATCACCTGCCAAACCTTCCCTGGTCAGTTTGTTAGTATATAATAAAATATTTATGTAATGATTAAAGAGTGAGAATTAGCAGCCTTTTGTATTTTATGAAAAGGTGGCTAATTCGTTATTTGCTATCTGTCTATCTGTCTGTCTATCTATCTGTCTATCTGTCTGTCTATCTATCAGTCTATCTGTCTGTCTCTCTTTTTTTTCTTCTTTTTTTACTAAGACTAGGATTCAAAAGGGCTGTCAAATGATGTACTTAATCTGCAAGCAAGAGCGTTATCCTACCTCAGCTCATCTTAACCCAACTCCTAGAAACTATTTATTTCATGAGAACGTACTTTGAAACTATCACATAGGGAACTATCATATAAGGAACCTGGTGAAACTGCAAGCAAGAGCTGTAATCCTACCTAAGCTCAGTTGAAACCTACTCTTAGAGACCCATTTATTTCATGAGCTTATTATATGCATCAGTAGGAATAGCCTGTCGGAAAATCCGACACCATTTAATATATCATACAGACAGATAATAACTGCTGTATTGTATAAACAAGTTGACCCATAGAAAACGTAACTTGTAGTGGAATTACCGTCTATAGAAAACGGAATATCATTACCACATACTATTTTAAATTCACCACCTATTCTGGTGGGAATTATTCTTAAATACATTAGTCTTTGGACTTTACCATCATAAAACATCTCATATAAATTAACTTAATTATCAATGTTAAAGTAGAGTAAATGTGACCCTTCTATCACTTTCTGTCATCTGGACAATGTAAGCCAGGCATCAGGGTGAGGAAGGAGGGGCAGCCATTGTTGATACTAGACCAGAGGCGCAGGGAGCAATTCGGCTCCTGTTAATTTTACTTGGACGAAGTGTTATGGAAACCAAAGGTGTACCATTATCAACACGCTGTCAACAAATCAAGTTAAGTGTTCTTCCGAAACCCATGTATCTTTCATTTATGGCCATTAATGTCATTATATAGGGTGAACCGGTTAGAGCACGTGGTAGCCTCAAACTAAAGGTAATTAAGCCAGGTCTTCATTGTTCCATGTACAGTGTTTCTCTGATATACCTGTCATATATAGGATTCTGGCTTTACAGCTAGCGCCCTTTTGACAGGTCAAGACGAGGAAGCATGCTTTGTGCATCAGTTACCAGGGTGATGGAAGCTACCTCAAAGAGGGAAAATGTGGTGTCTACAACCTAGTTATACCTGGTGGACTAACCTGCTGTACTATAAGATAAGGAACCTCTTCAATGAATGTAGTCTAATACTGTAGTTTGATTGGCTGCATATATATAAATAATATAAACCCCCCTAATGTGTAGAGGATCGATTTGTGAGATTATGAGATTATTGCAGAAATACAGTTCACTTATCATTATACAAATTGCTATCGAAGTATATAAATTAACGTAAATATAAATTCTATATATATTCATATAAATTAAATAAATATAAATCTCACAGGTCGGTTCCCACATTATTTGATCCGGTTCGAAGGACCAAATAATGTGGGAACCCTATATAATGACATTAATGGCCTTAAATGAAAGATACATGGGTTTCGGAAGAACACTTAACTTGATTTGTTGACAGCGTGTTGATAATGGTACACCTTTGGTTTCCATAACACTTCGTCCAAGTAAAATTAACAGGAGCCGAATTGCTCCCTGCGCCTCTGGTCTAGTATCAACAATGGCTGCCCCTCCTTCCTCACCCTGACGCCTGGCTTACATTGTCCAGATGACAGAAAGTGATAGAAGGGTCACATTTACTCTACTTTAACATTGATAATTAAGTTAATTTATATGAGATGTTTTATGATGGTAAAGTCCAAAGACTAATGTATTTAAGAATAATTCCCACCAGAATAGGTGGTGAATTTAAAATAGTATGTGGTAATGATATTCCGTTTTCTATAGACGGTAATTCCACTACAAGTTACGTTTTCTATGGGTTAACTTGTTTATACAATACAGCAGTTATTATCTGTCTGTATGATATATTAAATGGTGTCGGATTTTCCGACATAGCCTTTATTAATTAGCAACATTAGGTAACAATCATATAAGGAACAGGATGAACCTGTAGCCAACTATGTGCCAGAGCCTTCATGTGATCAGTTGACCTGATCTCCCGTGTATCAACTTGTTGAGCGAACAAGTTCCAGATCTGAGTCAGCCTCGGAGTAATGATCGTTGATAGAGTGATGTTCTTGAGAAAGGCACTGCCAGTATGAGACTGATGAAGGTTGAGAGCCTAGTGCTACGGATGGCAACTACTGATAGTCCATGGAGTTAGACCAGGTATTGAACTTTGAGGATGTTGGTCTTGTACATAGCAGTAAGACCACCAACGTTACGACGGTGTTGCAGGCTCTGATGTTCAGACCGTTCCCACCAGACTTGGTCAAGACTAGAGATGAGCCTTCTTGCCCGTCTCTCCACTTGTCCAACAGTGTGATGAATAATGGGGGGGGGGGCGATCAAGGAAAGAGGTTGCATTATCTAGATGAAAGCGAACTTGTGCTTCATATAAAGTTTTTGCAACCCTTAAGTTTCCTGGCTGCCTTTTGGGATAGGTTAAGCACATGGCTCTTCAGTGTCATTGATTCTCTCTCTCTCTCTCTCTCTCTAGTGAGTTCTCGGGCGTTGTTTGAAGCCAGTCAGATTAATGACAAGTCTTCGTTCCCCGTGTGCTCGCGACCCACCAGCTGTGAGGTGAGATGCTTGAATGGGAGGAGGTAAGGTTAGGGGCTGGAGGGAAGGTGAGGGGCGAGAGGGAAGGCGAGGGGCAGGAGGGAAGGTCAGGGGCTTTACGGAAGGGTAGATTAGAAGCATCTTGAAGGGTGAAACAGTTGGTGGAGGCTGCTGTTGTTCCTGTGGAGGCTCTGATCGTGCTTGTGGTAGTTGTGGTCGTGCTTGTGGAGGCTCTGATCGTGCTTGTGGTGACTGTGGTCGTGCTTGTGGTGACTGTGGTTGTGCTTGTGGTGACTGTGGTTGTGCTTGTGGTGACTGTGGTCGTGCTTGTGGTGACTGTAGTCGTGCTTGTGGTGACTGTGGTTGTGCTTGTGGTGACTGTGGTCGTGCTTGTGGTGACTGTAGTCGTGCTTGTGGTGATAGTGTCGATGGTGAAGACAGCTGTTCTGGTGTTGTGATGTTATAGTGATGCTCAAGATTTGTTGGTGGGAGTGTTACAGTCTTTCTCAGGAGACGCAGTGTGGCGCCTTCCTGTAGTGTTGGTGCCGAGGTGGCCAGCTGTACGGGGGTTGGGTGGGCGCCGCCCCCCGTAGATAACCTCAGATGGGGGTCAGGGAGGCTTGAGGATGATGCGAGAGATGAAGAAACAGATGCTGATGATGGCAGTGAAGTCGATGGTGAGCCTGTGATTATAAGTGATGGTGATGTTGTGGTTGATTGTGAGGGTTGCAATAATGCGGAGGGTGTTCGTGATTGTGAGGGTGATGGTGGTCTCGACAGTGGTGATAATGAGGCTCTTGCTAGTGTTGATTGTTGAGGCAGTGATGATAGTGAGGGTCTTAACGTAGATGCCAGAGACTGTGAAGGGAGCAGTGATGCTGTAGAGGGCACTGAAGCTTCAGACAGCATTGATGTTGATGGTGTTGCAGATGGCGCTCCTTGGCGAGACAGTTGCTGCGTGAGGTATAATAATGGTGGTGATGCTGCCTTCTCTGATGGTGGAGATGAGAATACTATTGGAGGCTGTAGTGGTATTGTAGATGATTGTTGTACTGCTGGTAATTGTAGCTTTGTTGGAGATTGTTGTAGTCTTGCAGATGTCTGTGGTGCTGGAGTTGAGGTAATTAATGGAAACGATGTTGATGATGTCAAGGTTAAAGACGATGTTAATGCTGGAGATGATGATGAAGATACAGAGAGTAGTGATGTTGGAGATGGTGATGATCTTAATGTTGGAGATGATGACAGCTTTGGTGCTGGTAGCGGTGTTGGAGATGATGACAGCTTTGGTGTTGGAGATGATGACAGCTTTGGTGCTGGTAGTGGTGTTGGAGATGATGACAGCTTTGGTGTTGGAGATGATGACAGCTTTGGTGCTGGTAGTGGTGTTGGAGATGATGACAGCTTTGGTGTTGGAAGTGGTGTTGGAGATGATGACAGCTTTGGTGTTGGAAGTGGTGTTGGAGATGATGACAGCTTTGGTGTTGGAAGTGGTGTTGGAGATGATGACAGCTTTGGTGTTGGAAGTGGTGTTGGAGATGATGACAGCTTTGGTGTTGGTAGTGGTGTTGGAGATGATGACAGCTTTGGTGTTGGAAGTGGTGTTGGAGATGATGACAGCTTTGGTGTTGGAAGTGGTGTTGGAGATGATGACAGCTTTGGTGATGGTAGTGGTGTTGGAGATAATGACAGCTTTGGTGTTGGAAGTGGTGTTGGAGATGATGACAGCTTTGGTGTTGGAAGTGGTGTTGGAGATGATGACAGCTTTGGTGTTGGAAGTGGTGTTGGAGATAATGACAGCTTTGGTGCTGGTAGTGGTGTTGGAGATGACAGTGGTGTTGGAGATGATGACAGCTTTGGTGTTGGTAGTGGTGTTGGAGATGATGACAGCTTTGGTGTTGGAAGTGGTGTTGGAGATGATGACAGCTTTGGTGTTGGTAGTGGTGTTGGAGATGATGACAGCTTTGGTGTTGGTAGTGGTGTTGGAGATGACAGTGGTGTTGGAGATGATGACAGCTTTGGTGTTGGTAGTGGTGTTGGAGATGACAGTGGTGTTGGAGATGACAGTGGTGTTGGAGATGACAGTGGTGCTGGAGATGACAGTGGTGTTGGAGATGACAGTGGTGTTGGAGATGACAGTGGTGCTGGAGATGACAGTGGTGTTGGAGATGACAGTGGTGTTGGAGATGACAGTGGTGTTGGAGATGACAGTGGTGTTGGAGATGACAGTGGTGTTGGAGATGACAGTGGTGCTGGAGATGACAGTGGTGCTGGAGATGACAGTGGTGCTGGAGATGACAGTGGTGTTGGAGATGACAGTGGTGTTGGAGATGACAGTGGTGTTGGAGATGACAGTGGTGTTGGAGATGACAGTGGTGTTGGAGATGACAGTGGTGTTGGAGATGACAGTGGTGTTGGAGATGACAGTGGTGTTGGAGATGACAGTGGTGCTGGAGATGACAGTGGTGTTGGAGATGACAGTGGTGTTGGAGATGACAGTGGTGTTGGAGATGACAGTGGTGTTGGAGATGACAGTGGTGTTGGAGATGACAGTGGTGCTGGAGATGACAGTGGTGCTGGAGATGACAGTGGTGTTGGAGATGACAGTGGTGTTGGAGATGACAGTGGTGTTGGAGATGACAGTGGTGTTGGAGATGACAGTGGTGTTGGAGATGACAGTGGTGTTGGAGATGACAGTGGTGCTGGAGATGACAGTGGTGTCGGAGATGACAGTGGTGTTGGAGATGACAGTGGTGTTGGAGATGACAGTGGTGTTGGAGATGACAGTGGTGTTGGAGATGACAGTGGTGTTGGAGATGACAGTGGTGCTGGAGATGACAGTGGTGTTGGAGATGACAGTGGTGCTGGAGACTGGACAGTTGCTGGTGTCACTTGGACAGTAGCTGACGTCAGATGAACGCCTGACCTCACCCGTTCTGGTGTGGTCACTTCAGCTGGTAACCGCGACGTTTTCGCTGCTAACAAAGACTTGTCTCTTGAAGACACCTTGCTGAATGACAGTAACTTGGGAGGGGACACTGATAAGGGAACTGATGCACTGTTATGTGCGTAGTCAGCAGGTGGTGACAGTGTAGGGGCTGGCACTGCTGCTGACGGAGTGTAGTCAGCAGGTGGTGACAGTGTAGGGGCTGGCACTGCTGCTGACGGAGTGTAGTCAGCAGGTGGTGACAGTGTAGGGGCTGGCACTGCTGCTGACGGAGTGTAGTCAGCAGGTGGTGACAGTGTAGGGGCTGGCACTGCTGCTGACAGAGTGTAGTCAGCAGGTGGGGACAGTGTAGGGGCTGGCACTGCTGCTGACAGAGTGTATTCAGCAGGTGGGGACAGTGTAGGGGCTGGCAATGCTGCTGACGGAGTGTAGTCAGAAGGTGGTGACAATGTAGGGGCTGGCACTGCTGCTGACGGAGTGTAGTCAGCAGGTGGTGACAATGAAGGGGCTGGCACTGCTGCTGACGGAGTGTAGTCAGCAGGTGGGGACAGTGTAGGGGCTGGCACTGCTGCTGACAGAGTGTAGTCAGCAGGTGGGGACAGTGTAGGGGCTGGCACTGCTACTGACGGAGTCGCTGTAGTGGCTGCACGAGTTGTACTCTTATATGGAGTCACTTGGCCAACTGCAAGAGCTTGCATTGGCGACGGAGAGGAATGCTGTATTAGTGAGTGGCTGACAACATCATGGTGGCTTGATGTGTGTGAGAGTTGCAAGGAAGCCTTCTCCTCGCCATTATTTTTAGGAGGGGATGAGTCAGGGGTGGGTGAGGCAGAACTGAATGAGGCAGGGGTGGGTGAGGCAGAACTGAATGAGGCAGGGGTGGGTGAGGCAGAACTGAATGAGGCAGGGGTGGGTGAGGCAGAACTGAATGAGGCAGGGGTGGGTGAGGCAGAACTGAATGAGGCAGGGGTGGGTGAGGCAGGAGAGGACGTGGCAGGAAGGGATGAGGAAAAAGAGAATGAGTCAGAAGTAGATGGTGCAGGAGTATGAAGTGTCCTGTTGAGTCCTAGGAGACCGTGCCGGCCTGGAACAGTCCTGAGCCCTGAAGCAGTGGAAGTGTCTGGGGACGGACGCAGTGCACCTGAAGCAGTGGAAGTGTCTGGGGACGGACGCAGTGCACCTGAAGCAGTGGAAGTGTCTGGGGACGGACGCAGTGCACCTGAAGCAGTGGAAGTGTCTGGGGACGGACGCAGTGCACCTGAAGCAGTAGAGGAATACACAGAAGGAGGTCGTGGGAATCGTCGACGCGGGTCGTGGGAGACTTGTCTAACAACGTCCTCCTGATACAATCTCCCACCAGGGACACTGGACGACTCAATTTGAATCTGTTGCTTGTTTTCAGTCTTTGGGTTAAGTTTATCTGTTGTATGTTTGAGGCTGAGTGGCGGGTTTGGATTAGTTTTCGTTTGAATAAGCAATTCAAACTGAGTTTGTTGATGAGACTTTTGCTGTTGGGAATCAATATTGGGGAAAACAATCTGCTGTGAAGCATCTTGATCATGTGACACTGAGGGCCGCTGCAGAATGGGAGGATTATGTTGTATCGTAGTTGGTGCTAACGTAGTGGCTGTAGGACGACCGGAATGGAAGGCAGGATAGAGAGGTCTAGGAGTCTGTGCCGGTCCGGCATATGTTGAAGAAGTGACATTTACTTCGGAAAATGTGATGTGTCTTGATATCTCCGACTTGGTACCATCGCCCACCGGATCAAGCCGGGGTGATGCTGGACGAAGGCTCAAATCTTGCCTCCCTGTGGAAACTAACCCGCCAGGTTGGGATGGGAGGACCTGAGCTGAGGTGGGTGAGAGACCATTGTCTCTGATACCAAGACGTTCTCCAAGTCGCCGAGAAACATTCCCCTGGAACATATAACTATTAAGAAGTCCAAGAGCATTCAAGGAGTTTGAGCCTTGCAGATACACTTTTCTTCTCACATCAAAAGAGTTTTCGCTCTCTGAAGGCTGATGTAATATATCTTCAAGATGTTCTTCAGCAGTGTCATGAGGTTCGTGGAGTAAATTAGACTTATTAAGTGACTCTGAAGGCAAGGCAGGAGTCGTACCCTCCGAAATGTTCAATAACTTCTCTAATGACGACTGAGTGATACTGACACCGTCCATTTCACCAGTGTCGTCGGCCCCTGGGAAAGACAGGATACCTTCCACCACTGACGGAGGACTTAGCTGACGGTAATGGTTCTGTGCACCAGCCGGTAGGGTCAGGCGGAGCGTATTCGCACGGTTGGGGCTGGCGTCGTCTAGAGGTGAGGTGGCGGCTGGTGTTGAGATATCAGGCATTGGAAAGGGAACTTGTGTTTCAGACGATGAAGTAGGTGGCGTCTGTGTTCCGAACGATGAAGGAGGTTGTGTCTGTGTTCCGGACGATGAAGGAGGTTGTGTCTGTGTTCCGAACGATGAAGGAGGTTGTGTCTGTGTTCCGGACGATGAAGGAGGTGGTGTCTGTGTTCCGAACGATGAAGGAGGTTGTGTCTGTGTTCCGAACGATGAAGGAGGTGGTGTCTGTGTTCCGAACGATGAAGGAGGTTGTGTCTGTGTTCCGAACGATGAAGGAGGTGGTGTCTGTGTTCCGAACGATGAAGGAGGTGGTGTCTGTGTTCCGAACGATGAAGGTGGTGGTGTCTGTGTTCCGGACGATGAAGGAGGTGGTGTCTGTGTTCCGAACGATGAAGGTGGTGGTGTCTGTGTTCCGGACGATGAAGGAGGTGGTGTCTGTGTTCCGAACGATGAAGGAGATGGTGTCTGTGTTCCGGACGATGAAAGAGGTGGTGTCTGTGTTCCGGACGATGAAGGTGGTGGTGTCTGTGTTCCGGACGATGAAGGTGGTGGTGTCTGTGTTCCGAACGATGAAGGAGGTGGTGTCTGTGTTCCGGACGATGAAGGAGGTGGTGTCTGTGTTCCGAACGATGAAGGAGGTTGTGTCTGTGTCCCTGACGATGAAGGAGGTGGCGACTGTGTCCCAGACGATGAAGGAGGCGGCGTCTGTGTCCCAGACGATGAAGGAGGTGTCTGTGTTCTAGATGACAGTGGAGGAGTCTGTGTTGTAAACGATGATGTAGCGGCTGACTGTGCTCTTGATGATGTTTGTGTACTGGACGATGGAGAGGCGTTTGGCTTGGTCATTAGAGATGTTTGTGTCTTATACGACAAAGGTATTAGTGATCTAAACCGCAGAGCCTTCAACTGAGGAGACTCTGGTCTTGGCTGGGTAGCTTTTGACCTAAAATATGGTACATTAGACCTGGTTTGAAGCTTAGGCTTAGCCGTCCATGAAGGTTCCTGAGTGTTGTGCAAAGTTAGTTGGGACCTGGGTGTTGTCTTCTGGGTCCTTGTCGTTGTTGCCTGAGACCTGGGTGTTGTCTTCTGGGTCCTTGTCGTTGTTGCCTGAGACCTGGGTGTTGTCTTCTGGGTCCTTGTCGTTGTTGCCTGAGACCTGGGTGTTGTTATCAGGGTCCTGGATGTTGTTGTGTGGAACTTGTAGGGAACTGCTTGTGTCCTGGACGGTGTTTGATGAGATCTGTGTGGCTTTGTCGGGGACCGGGAATTTGTTAGTTGGATCCTCGACAGATTAATTTTGGAATTTAGAGGTGAAGCTGTAACCCTAAAATGAGCATCTCTCTGCTGGTTGCCTTGACTTCTACGGCCACCTTTAAATTGCCGTCGTTGCTGGTCTTGTTCTTTGGATGAGTCTTCTCTCAACTGCTTGGAAATCTGCGAGGAAGAAAGGAAGAAAACATCTTTCATTCCAAACATTGGTTCCTCAACAAATCCGTAATCAGTTTCTTTGGTTGATGAATCTTTGTCTTCCTCGCTATTGCGATGAGTGGCGGGAATCTCCTTGAGATTATAGAAGAGAGTGGTTGGGCTGGGCCGCTTGACTTGACTCTCAGAACCTTCAAGGGTGCCACTGTGCGGCAAGCTGTCATCCTCTGCCTCATCTTTGACACCGTCATTTCTCTTTGGCGGGAAGATGTGTTGGAGCGACGTCCCAGCAGTATTTTTGGAGTGTGTACTCTGCTTCGACGACTTCTTGAAGCTGTTCCCTGGAGGCTCTACTGTCGTGCGGAAGTTGATGCTGAAGTCAAGTTTGGACTTGGAGCTTGGATTCTTAAGTTCATCCTGCTGTGGTAGTGACACAGTTCGCCATCCAAACTCAGTTATGGGTCTAGAAGCTCTACCAGTGGAAGATCTGATAGTGGACTGTTTCTGTTGTATATTTAACTTTTTTAATTCAATATACGGTGAAGGAGAGGACAGAGAACTCACTGATAGTCCGGCGTTCTGGTGCTCGCCGCTGGGCAGGTGCAGCCCCTGTTGAGGTCTCTCGGGTCCAATGGGTTTCCTCCTGCGCATGAACAGTTCGAGCACCGGGTCCATAGTGACGGTTGCGGGGTCTGGTGTAGGTGTTGGCTCACTGCTAGAGTGAAAGTGAGGTCCAGGATGGTCAGGAGTGTCAAGCGACAGTTTTGGTTTGACATGAGGCTGGTTTAGTGGTCTACCAGGTCTAGAAAGGAGCCTTATGGAAATGGTAAGTGGTTTGTGAGGTCTTGATAGTAGACGATCTCGACCGGACCCCCCTATTGGGTACAAAATTGGCTGAAAATGATCATTAACAGCAATATTCTCCTCAGCTTCTTTGTTGTGCGGTGTGGTATGCTGAGGGAACCTCTTTCCTTGTCTCCTCGGCGCCTGAGGTCGTGATCGTTTTAGTGATGGCAACTTGACAGGTCTCCTTACAAGGCTTCGAGAGGAATCCGGAATACCCACAGGTAGAGGACGACTGGTGTCAGGAAGTTGATGATTCCTCAGAGAGTCTTTTAATCGAGGTCTTCCAAATGGCACTGGTCTTTCCTCAAACCGCAGTGAGAGTCTTCCTCGGGCTCCTGAGGCAGACGGTCTATTAGTCTGTTGGGATTCATCTCGGGAGCTCCCATATGAGGCAAAGTCAACTGTTGTTGTCGAATGTTTGTAGTCTTCCACAGATTGGGCAGGAATCACTGCCTCTGAGAGCTGCACTTGTGGGTCTGCATCCAACTTAGTGTCCTCCAGCGAAGGTACAGGTTGTATATGAGTCTGCGGTGACTCATCTAGGCAACTGTCATAACACGGAAAGTCATCTGATGACCTCAACTCTTCATAGTCTTCCGGAGTTTGATCGAAAACCACTTCCTCTGAGAAGTGGTACTGTGGGTCATCTAATTTAGTATTCTCAGATAAGGCAAGAGGCAGCTTGTTAGTCTGTGTTGGCTCATCTGTGGTGCCATCAAGTGAGGCGAAGTCATGTGGTGTTGCCGAGTCTTCATATTGTTCTGGAGAGGGGATGGGAACCGCCTCTTCTGATAAGTGAGCCTGTGGTTCTTCCTCTAACTTGGTATCGACAAATGCAGATGGAGATGGTCTGTGAGTCTGTGGTAGCCCATCAGTAGTACCATCATATGAGACGAAATCATCTTCTGGCGTCAGGTCTTCAGAGTCTCCTTTTGATTGACTGGAAACCGCCTGGTCTGAAATGTGCAACTGTGGTTCTTCCTTCCCCTTGACATCCTTAAACGAAGAGAGAGGGTGTCTGTGATTCTGTGGCGGCCTGTCTGTGGTGCCATCCAATGAGACAAAGTTATTTGATGGAGTAAATCCACCATAGTCTTCCGTATATTGGTTGGGAACCGTTTTCTCTGAGAAGTGCAACTGTTGCTCGTCCTTGATCTCGGTGTCCCTGTATGAAGGGGGAGTCTGGGAGGGCTCTAGTACAGGGACGGATAGCAGGGAAGATCCTTGATGCTGGCGTGTTATAGGGACCGCGGAGGTCATCTGAGGGGCCCCGGAGGTCATCTGAGGGACCCCGGAGGTCATCTGAGGGACCCCGGAGGTCATCTGAGGGACCCCGGAGGTCATCTGAGGGACCCCGGAGGTCATCTGAGGGACCCCGGAGGTCATCTGAGGGACCCCGGAGGTCATCTGAGGGACCCCGGAGGTCATCCGAGGGACCCCGGAGGTCATCTGAGGGACCCCGGAGGTCATCTGAGGGACCCCGGAGGTCATCTGAGGGACCGCGGAGGTCATCTGAGGGCTTGTAGAGGTCATCTGATGGATACCGGAAGTCATATGAGGCATCCAAGGAGAGTTAGACGCAAAGGGGGTGAACTTGGGATGTTTATCAATGACAACCCCGTCGTGGAGCACAAGGCTGTGCTCGTGCTCGTCGCCGTCGACGGTGTCAGGAGTAACCATCCCAGTAATTGGTGATGAGGAAGAGGATCCTACATCTTGACCCCAACCTGGTGCAATGCTGCTAGTCCCTGAGCCATCGCTGCCAATCATCAAGGGGCCCTCTTGGTCTGTATGTGTCAGCCCTGAGTCATCGCTGCCTACCCTCAAGGGGCCCTCTTGGTCTGTATGTGTCAGCCCTGAGTCATCGCTGCCTACCCTCAAGGGGCCCTCTTGGTCTGTATGTGTCAGCCCTGAGTCATCGCTGCATACCCTCAAGAGGCCATCTTGGTCTGTATGTGTCAGCCCTGAGCCATCGCTGCCTACCCTCAAGGGGCCCTCTTGGTCTGTATGTGTCAGCCCTGAGTCATCGCTGCCTACCCTCAAGGGGCCCTCTTGGTCTGTATGTGTCAGCCCTGAGCCATCGCTGCCTACCCTCAAGGGGCCCTCTTGGTCTGTATGTGTCAGCCCTGAGTCATCGCTGCCTACCCTCAAGGGGCCCTCTTGGTCTGTATGTGTCAGCCCTGAGTCATCGCTGCCTACCCTCAAGGGGCCCTCTGCAACTGATTGCGTGGGCCTCAGTGGCAGCGTTGTCGATTCATCGTACGTTACTCCTTCTTCAGCCTTTGAATTATCAGTGTTAAAGCTGTTGAAACTGTGACTGGAAGACTGAACACCTGAGATGGACTCATAGATCGCCTTTGTTGTCCGCTGCTCTGGCGAAAGCTGCTTTTCGTCAATTTCTAAGTCCTTTCGTACCTCTGTTTCTAAAAGACTTAGTTTCTCCTCTTTATGGATAGGTAGAAATGAATATGTAGGATCGTTCAAGGTAGAATGGTAAGAATTTGCTGCGGGTTGCCTTAGGGCATCGAAATTACTGTTCCCGCCAGATTTCGTTTCATCCGGTGAACCAAAACTACTCTGGCCTCCAAAAGACCCAAGTTGAAGTGATCCTCCTTTAAATCCGTGTGGCGAGGAGCCGGATATGAATCCGGAATTAAATCCATCTATGCCTCCGCCTGCAAAGCCCAATCCTCCAATGCCACCTCCTGCAGCAGAGAACGGCAAGAAGGTCT